TCATTCTAATTTTGGCACATATAATTGCTCCGTGAAATCGTGCTTTACCTATTGTATCTTTAATAAATAAAAATATGTTAACGATATCAATGTGTGCTTAAGATAAAACTGACATTCTTCGTTTGTATATACAAAGGTAGCATAGATCTTAACCTATTTTCCTTATCGAAAATTATCATCTTAAATTCTCCTTCTCCTAGCATTCTTTCTACGTATTTAAAGACTTTACTGAAAGCAAAACGTTTGTATATTTTCTGATTTAAATAAAGTTATATGATATCAGATACATGCAAATATGAAATGTGGCGTGTTTTTCTATAAATCCTTAATATTCTTACATGCATTTGTTGCTGTTGGTGAATTTATTTGTGTTTTAACGCTGCTTATTCTTTTTGTGATAGCTGAAGCTAACAATTCATCATTGGATCCGGATACAGTTTCTAAGTCAGATGTGAATCTTGTTTTTATTGGACTTGGTATAGGTTGGTTAGGAGCTATAGTGCCAACTTTTATAGGTTTTATTATTCTTATTTTACTGCAAGGATTATTGTGTTGTTGTATATGTTTTATTATATTCATAAAACCAAATAGTTGTGGACGTATATTCTGTGCAAAATCTATTCAAAGATTAATAACATTGGAATGTAATTGTCCATGTTATATTGCAAGACCAAAATTACGTTTTATTAATAGATTTATATTTTTATTTATGTGTCTTTTATTACGTCTTACATCTATCATTATATATATGTATGTTTCAAAAACAGTACCACTGATGAAGCAACTTGCAATTTTAACTGCTATATCAATAATATTTTTAATATGTACATTTTTCTTAGATTTTTATCATTATTGGATATGGTGGCATTATTATCCATCATGTGATATACAGAGTCGAAGAACATTATCAAGAAAACATAAACGTTATTTACCATATCATTTATTAGGTGATTATCGAACAATGAAAAGAGGTGATTATCCATGTAAAAATGTTCAACATTGTCAAAATCGTCAATTAGAACATATAATGATATTTCATTCAAAAGATTATTTTCCACAACCACGTTGGTCAGAAATAAAAAATCAATGTAATGGTATTTATATAGGTTTTCATCGTACAACATTTCAGGCAGCTGTAGCCATAGCACATAGTGATTTTAGAGGAAGTGAAGCAACCGCAAACAAATCACAAATGCTTGGTTTTGGTGTATATTTTGCTAGATCAATTAAAGATACAATAGGTAAAGCACGATTCCACGGAGCAATTATATGTGCCAAAATTAGAATGG